CTATAGGTCAAACAAGGATGATTGAGTTGAACGAAGAGAAGAAGCACGGATGGACAGGACGTTACCTTCCAATCTCGGGGTACTGGCTAATGCCGGTACTGATGTAGCAGTATCAGTGGAGGTCGGAGCATCAGCCTGATCCTGATCACATGGAGATTCTTCTACTGGCAGAATCAGACTCCGTTGAGTGCAAGAAAGTCATGAAGCTAACCTTGTTCAACTTCTCGGAATCGATCCGACGAGCCGTCCACAGGCCGGAAGGCGTAATGATAGCCCACGAGATGTTGAGCAAAATCAGTAGTTGTTAGGTCAAAGCCTCGCAGGATTTGATATTGGTGGATCAGCTTGTATTCATCATTGGACCAAGAGTGGGATGAGCAACCGAAGTATTCGAATAGAAGAGTGACAGGAAGGCCCAACCAACGACAGACGCAAGGAGAGAGAGCAATTCTTCCCTCTGCATCCAAGGACCAATAATGGAGAGATGATGTTTCACCATTGGGCAGTTCAGGGGTGGGCGAGTGGACAAAGAGGAAGATCTGTTGCCAGTAGTCCCACTGGTGTTTGGAAAGGTCGCCAGTCAACCTGGCACTGGGTACAACGATCTCTAGGAAGGTTTGTAGCGTAGAAAAGGTGGCGCAAAGGGGTTATACGTACTGTAAGCACCGAGATCCGTATCGTTCTGAAATGCCTCTCCACGACTATGGAGAAAGCTCCACGCTTGTGACAGCCAGTGTGCCGATACGGTTGAATTCCATTTTAACCCAAAAGAGTTACCTTCATCAGGCGTGAACTTGAATCTGTGAAAGTGGGTCAGGAGTATGATCAATTAATGCACTATGGCAAACTTGCCTAGTCACCCCATTGTGCAGTAACGTTGGCTCGATAAGGTTTGCGTGGTAGCTTCCCCAAACTGGAGTTCCGACGGCGATGGTAGTGTTGGTCAGACTCGAAAGAACGGTGACTTGAGAGATCCCTTCACTGGCCACTATGTGCGACCGCGACGCCGAAGCAATCGCTGAAAGGAAGGAGAAATCGACGGTCTCCGTCTCGAGACCAGCTAAAAAGCGTAAGAAAAGGTCCTCTTGGAGCAGTCCGGCATCCCAAGGAACATCTTCACTTTTCTGCAGCCCCACACCTCGGATAGCACTCCAAGGAAGATCTGGCTTTGGCCCTGGCGGCCCACGGCACAGCACACCCCGCACGGGATCCATCCACAGCTCCGATTGGCTAGTGCATTTCAATTCCCACTATGACTGCGAGATTAGTCTGGACCAACGCCTGAAAGAGCTACGCGGTTGCTTACACGCAGACTGCGAAAATACAGCTGACCCATAAACCCGACGTGCCTCATGAACTGTGCAGCAGGAACCAGCTCTACAGCGAGACATTAGCTATATTCTGCCGTCAAGTACAAAGGCGATCCATCATTCCACATACCGTTCCAAAAGATAAGGGATGGAATCGTCCCCGCATCGATGGCATAAATTTGAAGACCATTTGGGCTCCTGGGGCAATTTTTGTAGTAAGGGTGTGTGACGGTCCATACGCAGTTATCGCGATCCTCAAAAACACTTACAACAAGTCGAAATAACTCCGGAACTCTTCCTCGAACTCCTAAGGGTATGCGGTAAATTAATATTCTCCTATTCCAAATTGAGGACTACTAAACACGTACCTCACGTGCCTCTGGTCCGGCATAAGATACCACTGTAAACAGCCTGCCCTGCCTTCCATCAAGCTCCGCCACACAAATTATTCTATCAAAATTGCGGCCCTCCTTCCAATCGTAACGATACCGATGCAGGCACTTGTCGACGTGTATACTGCGAATCCTGCATATATCGCCGCGCTTCACGTTGCGAACCTGAGAAGACACATTCAACGCCAAGTCTACCCTCCACGAAGCGACTGTAACCCGTTACCTCGTCAAATATCGATACCTCCTTCTGTTTTCCTTCTTTAATGATTGTCGTCGTTGTCGAATGAATCACTTGATTTCCTTGGACTTGACTGAAGTGGCCGCCGGTAATGGTAAAGTCCCGTGAGTTTTGGAAGAATTCGGAAGACATGTATTGTGCGGACAAGTAAGAGGGTGGGGACGGTGGGATGGGGTGCAAAGACAATGGGAAGGAGTGATCAATATGTAACTCAAAGGAAAAGATATGTACTCAAGGCTATGCCCAGCCTGTGTCGTAAGATAGGGCTCATGCAGATGTAGGGTCAGGTCAACACATGTGCATGACCCGTGGGCCGTGACCCCCGCCAAAAATGTCGCGCAGCGTTCCCAGTTGAACGCTGTTAATAAGTATAATAACGGCCTCAAAGTCTCAGAAAAAGGGCTCTCATGAGGTCGTCATATTCCATCGCTAGAGGGTCCGTCGGAGCCCAATTGGCCTTCGGAGACCCTACATCTGCATGAGCCTTATCTTACCTTCTCCCGCAGTTTGTCTCAGGTTTCAGCGAGTAATCGATTAAGCATAGCACCGGCTGACCGGCATACCGTAATCCCCGTTCATTTTGAGAGCGCGGCAATTGCCAAAGTCCGCGCCAACGTGCTCATAGAACATTGGGAAATGGAATCGGATTGGATTAGACGTCAATTTTCCGAGTCCGTGCGGTGTCATGTTGGCGGAGAATCTCAGCCAGAGCACCGCTGACGATACGACTCCCTTGATCCGTATCCGAGTGGTAGATGCTCCAAGAAGTTTGGACAATCGGATCCAGAAGCACGAGATAGGTTGGGGTTGGGCAAGAAACTCGGGTGCAGGTATCTCTGCACAGTCATCTGCGTGCCCAACACTGCCTATAGACGAGACGAGTGACGACGATTTTTCTAGACTTTCCAGAGGTGCGTCCTGACCAAAGCGAACGAGAGGGCACGAAAATCGTCGAGCAAGTCGAACACGACAACATATTTCGTGCCAGATGCCCGTCAACGTCGGGTCCGGGGAAGAAAAATTGGAATCCGTTGCATGCGTCCCGATGATCTTCACTGCCGGTGGACACTGTCCAGATCCGAGGACCCAGCGGTCAAGGGCTGACTGAGATTGATGAGGATAAACATCCTGGTTTGCGGCAAAAGACGAAGCGCTAGTGATCGACGTGAGCGTGCAAAGCGCTGGGAGGCATGTGTCTGGGCTGGACGTTGAAAAAGCTCGAAATCTGGTGATGACAAACGCGACAAATAGAACTAGCCAGTCGACACGAGCTTGCTGAGAGCAAAGGTGGGACCATTCGCGTAATCTTCGTCACTGAGCAGTCCATCTTCCATAGTCAGCCCAGCCTGTATTCTATTCTGGGTCGAATGCAAGCTTGAGGAGAGGGAACGTGGGCTCGAAGAAATTGAGGGGGAGAAACCGGATCGTGGAAGTCCAAGTCTGAGAGTGCCCGGCCCGGCCCCGAGATGGTTTTGCTTTAAACAAACCCCTCACAACGCCACATTCTCTCAAATTCACACATCCCGAACCATGCAATCTTCAGAACCGAGTAATACGCACATACTCAATCACAAGGCAAGTTCAAGATCCAAACTTTCTATCCTGAGAGGTAGCGAATTAGGGTTCAACTTTTTACAAGTCATGTGCATGAGTTCCCGGAAGGGAAGATTTCTCGTATTGCTATTCGAAAATCCAGTACCCACCCATTTATAACTTTTCAGAGGCTCCAAGTGATGAAATTCTGTTGCATTGAGAGTCGAGAATTAAGACGATGGATTTTGTTACATACATACTCGTTACAGCAAAAACGGTCGGTTATTCGAGCTCAATCACTGGAGTACTTGTAGATAGACCCGATGAGACCGCTCAGAGAACCAGTGCGAACCGTCACGATAGCCTCGAGAGGGCCCGCTATGATAGTTTGTCCATACTTATCAGCTTGAGGGGGGAACTTTGTGAGAAAAAGCATTTGCGGGGGGCATGCGTACTCACTCAGCTTGATACATAGTCTTTGATAAGTCGTCGTTCAGTTCGTGGTAACCGGACATTGAGATGAGAATCCACTGGTCCAGGAGTTGGAGGGTCCAATTTATCGTTGACATCCTCCTCGTCGTCGTGGTGTTGGCCTTGGCAGCGGAGTCTTTCTCCGAGTCCGTCGTGATCGAAAGGGAGTAAAGCACAATAAAGGGATTCGCTGGGTCACCAACTTGGTGCGGATCAAGAAATCGGCGACCAAGTCCGTGGCAGCATGCCGCGTCCTCAGGCTGTGAATCCTATCACCTAAAGAGATCCACCAGACCCATGAGAAAAGCAAGATGACTGCCAAACACTGCACACTGGTAACGCACCTTCGTTCTATCGTCTGCCATGGCCCCACTTCGTTTCACTTCCAGCTCAACAATCTCCACTATCATATACACCGGGCGCGGCTCAAGGGGGTAGCAGAGAGTGTTTTGTCTCGAGATGCTAGACAAGTTCCCTCTCTTTCGAGAGCACGGTAGCAGTTGGACGCAACGACATATTGAGAGATTCGAACGAAAGCTCGGGTTGATTTTGGGGATAATCGTAGGGGTCGTTTTGTGCCTCATATCGTCAGGTTATGCGCTTTTTTGACCTGTTCATACGATTCGGTTGCTTGAGGAGAGCGGAGGGCGGTGTTCACTGTTGAGAGGGAGAGGAAGACTCGTTGGAGTACATCGAATATCATGCTGAAGGGCCAGGTTGTTTGGTCAGGCAGCGGCGAAGATGAGAGCATCGAATTTGACCGACATACCTTTTCATATCCAGCCTTCCCAAAAAAAATGGCACACAAAACTAGCCAGGGCCTGTCGACGTGATTGTTGTTGTCAGGAAAGTGTTTTGTACGTGCTGTCGGCTCTGACCATACCATCGGCTGCCATGGATTACGTCCTGGGCTGATGAGAGTAATCTAACGCAGAGGCGAAAAGCTGGAGGGAAAAAAATCGGTCGTGGGAGTCCAAAGTTGGGAACGGCAGAAATTTGCTCACACAAGCCCACATGTCTGTCCCGATCTCGATATATACTCATCTTATCCTTAGAACACCGTTGGTGAAGTGGTTATCATGCTTGCCTTCCATCACCTAGTATTCGGTCTTTATTTCAGGAGCAAGCGGCTCGGGTTCGATTCCCGAACGGTGTATGCCAGCACCCTAAGTTGGGCACAACTTTTTGTGCTTGGTTTGCATAGACCATTTTTGACGTAGGGGGTCCCAAAGCACGTTCTCCGGGCCACTTCGCGACGAGGATAGCGGATTCAAGAAGGGAGTTGGTGGAAATCATCACGAAGTGGACTAGAAAAGATTTCCCCAAAGCTGATATATATATCGTTCGGGAATCGAACCTGAGCCGCTTGCTTGGAATACGCGTACCCTCAATGGTGTGTTGTGGTGGCAGAACATCGTTGGAAGCCACTATCAGCTGCAATAACAGGGTCAATGGTTTGCTCGAGCTTGAGGTTACCGAACAGCTCTCTGTATGGGTTCGGCCCGAAAGTAGATAATATAAGACGCGACAAAAGGCATCCTTGAAGCCTGGGACTCTGGGTTAATCTACTTGCACGGCGGATACCGTCGACTTCGATCCGGACCGGCGTCTCTTCTGACTCTCACCACACCATCGATATTTTCCCCGCTCGTCATGTTCTTGCCAGTCGCTCTTCATCCCCATACTCACAAAAAATGTTTATCAATACCACCCGTCCGTCAACCATGTCCACCTCTCTCCCATACACACCGCTCAACATAAACGGTCTACGTGTCAATCCATCAAGACAGCCCAAACATTCGACATTCTCACCCCAGGATCCCTCAAACCCGTCGATATCTGTGACAGCGTATCCTCTCAGAACTGTCAAGACGCCATCTCTGCTGCCCACTATGCCTTCAAAGGCTGAAGTCAAACCAATATTAGCACCAGAAACCGCATCTTCACCCGAGCTGCCGTTTTACTCGGAGGAGATGAAGGAGACTGGGAAAAACCGCATCATCATCTCCATAACCGAAGAAACCGACGCCTCACTCTCACAGCTAAAATTATCGTCGACACTCGAGTTCGGAAAGTCACATTCACGGGTTCAGACCGTGTAGGCAAAATCATCGCCATAGAATGCGCTCAACACCTCAAATCTCGCGTTCTGGAATTGAGTGGGAGGTTCGAGGCGATGCTCCTGTTTCGTTGGCAGTCAAGCGGATCCTGATGGGCGCGACTATGCATAGTGGACAGACGGACGGGGATATTGTTCACAGAGGTGTTGTGGTTCACGGAAGAACTGCTGGAAGATTGCTGCAGAACTACGGGGTAAAGGAGCAGTGGGACCCCTAATCCGAGTATTTGCAGAACCTCACGCAGAAAACGTAGCAGAGATGATTAGGGAGGCGAAGCTACGGGGTGAGGTGCAAGTGTTGTTGTCTGAGAGGAGGGAGGGGGGCTCGTTGGACCACATGTCGTGCGGATGGGGCAGGATAAGAGTCAGAAGAAGGGGTAGTGGGTTGGGTAGGGTGAGGGAATCGCTCACAGCTCTCGTACATACGACAGTCGACACGGTTCAAGAAGCTATCGATGCAGCCTATGATTCTGACCATCATTGAGAGCTCGGTGTGGGCGAGGGATTTGTACCTGGCGAGGAAGGTTGCTGAGGCTGTACGAGTTGGGTATACGAGCATCAATGGGAGCACCATGCATCCCGAATCTGCGCTGGGCTTGGTTGGCTAGGGTACGTACTGTCCGATCAGCTTCCTTGCACCGTGTATACTGATTCTCTCCTATCCTCCCACAGCGGCGAATCCCGCTTCAGTGTAGACGATTTCACCTATGAAATATGTATCCTCGTAGGAATCAACACGAATTCAAATGGCCATCTGAACGGAGATCAAGCGGGATTTGACATTTTCTTTCGAACGAAGAATAGCGTTGCCCGGGAACGATTTATCACTGGAGGATGGTTTCAAAAGTGTACCATGTCCTGCTCGGTACGTAGACTCACTTCACCGCCCCTCGTACCTCCAGGAGCGCGGCGAAGTCTATTCGGTACGTTAAATCTGACTCCTACTCATACGGTCTTCAGCGCAGATTGAAACGAACTCGAACGTCTGACCCCTGAAAGACCTCGAGATTCTTAGAGACTAAATTGAGGACTGTCGATCTACCAGACGTCCCGCTGTGAGGAATCAAGCGAGACGTGCGGATTGTCGGGAAGGGCCAATGTATAATGGTATTCAACGGGTCGAAGGGCTTTCGTGATGATACTGAGGTTGAGTGGGGTCGTAATTGTGGTTCAAGTTAAAGCGGCGACAGTCAAGGCGTGCTTTTGGAGTCCCGCTATGATTACCCCATGCCGGGGCCCACGTCAAGCCTCCAGCTTCACTTCAAGAGCTTCAGCTTCTCATCCTTTGCCTTCGCTCTTGATTACTAGCTTCTGGATCTCCGCCCCAGGTGGGAGCTCCAGGAGACGATGGTGATATCCGAGGGTCGAGAATGATATAGTGTATATCGTTGATCAGGCCAGTCATTCCGCCCATTGCAGGAGGTGAGGTTACAATCCGATATCCATACTCACTCTAATGCACTAGGCTTTCAATTTAGTGCGAGTAACCTTCAAATCCTGTCCAACGACGCGTGTTCGTATCACTTACTATACTCAAATTCCATTTGAATGCTTCTACGAACCTCTCCAAAGCAGCGTTCAAGTCTGGTTGGAATTCATTCAAATGCGCCATTTGTACCGATTCTACTCGAGTACTCAGCCCGGGCGAGCTACATCAACCCGAGCCTCGTCGGAGTCACTCGGACTCATTCCAGCGTCTCCACTGCCTTCTTCCCTCAGTGGGTGGCTCCGACCCCCTTGCTGATTAGTGGGTTAGTCGAGACATCGATCGGGTATAGACCCATGATGGTTTGAAACGTTCACATAGAATATTTAGTGTTCGTCCCTTGACGATATGGTACTTACATTATTCTGGGAATAAGATAGATGTACCGTATTAGCCACCGAGGACTGTGATTGCGTTTATGACCCAGAATCACTCGCAATACGAAATCTGGGACCCCTCGGATCCGAGCTTGCAGGATGTATATATCGGACCTACATGAACCCATAACCTGGCGCGCCACCAGGTTTGGGACGAGTCCATTTGCCATTTGTGATGCAAGCCATTTAAGGGATATTCAAAGTTGCGGCTTCTGGGCAACGATATCCGAATGTATCCTATGTACATGCGCTGCCAATATTGTAAGTCCATATGTGTCCAATCTTCTGAATCCCACACGAAATTTCAAGGCGCGAAGGACATTCAGCGACGTGGTGTATCAAATGAAGAAAACTGTCTTGCGTACACCTCCGAGTCTCCTAGGGCGACTCCGTTTTGGGACTAACAGCCTGTCTCATTGCTGTCACTGCCGTGCCAGGTACCGCTGTCGCCACGGAAAAGCCAGGACCTGCTGTTTCAAAGCTTGAGCTTCTTCAGTGAACCTGTCTGGGAAGGTCTAATAGGGAGGCGAATTATCAATTCCGGTCCAATTTGATGAGGAGTTGGTATAGAAATCAGTTCGGATTGAACGCGTTGCTCACCTCGATCCACTCAATAATATCCTTGTCTCCTTTTGGGGCGTGGGAGAAACGAAAGAGGTCCACCGGCCCACCTTGCGCGAGTTCCAAAAAGCTCTGGCAGAGCGAAAGAAGCTCGACATCAAGGCGACAGCATTTCAGGACTGATGACGAAAGCATGTCCTGAAAGATGCGGTACAACTCATGCAACTTGGAAATTTCCATATGTGTTACACCACTCCTTAAAAGCTGCCCGAAACGAAAGATCCAAGACTTAACCACTTCCACACAAGCTTCCTGGTACGCGACGTGCCCTGGATCACACGACTCTATCCCCCTTGCAAGATTACAACGGCAGATCATGAGGCGTGGCAGTTCGGCCATAGTGGGTGGCGGGACTGGAGGGGGCAGCCAATCACAACCTGCGGTTATTCGAACAAGCCAATCTGTGATGTCCAATCTTGGAGATATGCCTGGAGGCCATTCAAGATGGAAACCTTCAGGGAGTGCCTGATATTTTTGCAGGTCGCACTCGATCACATTGTTGTTCTTTTGGGTATAGAGGCATTGTGAGCGGCGTAAATAATAAGGGTGGAATAAAGTAGTTGATAACTTACGTGTCGCCCCATGGACGCCAACCACACTCGCAGGCCCCAGAACCTTTCTGCCCAGGTCCCACGACTATTCCGCCGGCGCTCAATCACCAGATAGGTGGCAGCGAGGTCAACGTTTCGCAGATCGTCCAATAGACATTGCGGTGGTTCAGTTAAAGACTTGCAGAAATCTATCCATCTTGTAAAGAAGGTGGTCGTGTCCTCGCCGTAGAGTTGGTTGTGGCTATTAATTAGATGTATATCAAAAACAAAACTGTCATTTGAAGCATTAGAGGACGTGCACATACCTATAGGTCCTTATTCTACTGGTTGAGAGATTCTGGAACCATTGTTGCGCAAGTGCATATCTCTGAGCGTGCTCGTCGATATGAAAACAATGTGATCTAATCCGGTCAAGTATGTAATCCGTGAACGACTTGTGGTATGGGTAAATTGCATCCACTGAACTACGGATGTCCAGTATGGAGTGCATGGCACGTAGCGTCAGGGCCACTTGACCCGAAGGCCAACCTAACAACAGCTCAATATGTGCTGGGGATGGGTTCAAGTACCCCGGAAGAACAAGAATAGCCGCAAGGACGGGGAGGAGTTCCTCGCGATATGGATGTGCACTGAGTATGTAATCATACAGGGCATCGAGCGTGGGATATGGCGAGGTTGCTGGGTGACGAGGGGAGGTGTTCTCGATGATGACACGAAGTTGAATGATGGGATGGTTGTACGCGAGCTTGACAAACATGATGACCGTCACCGCATAGACGAATTGGCTGCAGGACCTCTCGACCAGAGTTTCAAGGTCCCGCATCGACGGCCAGGGATTTGGAAACTGGACTTGGTTGTACTTGCGACTGGTGACAATCTCCTGAAAGCAATGCAGGTAATACTGTCTGATGTCGTGGCGGGCCTCGAGTGAATCGTCCAAAATGATTGTTTTCGTCAGTTGAGATAGGGGTTCATCAGAGAACGCCTCCTGGATCCACGATTCAGGACGACTGCAGATCAAAAATCGTAATGGGAGGTGAGGTACGTGTTGGAAGGCAGATTGAATAATGGTGAGAATTCGCAACTGGGTTTTCTCGTCTCCGCATTCATCTAACCCATCAATGACGATGACATTTGGAAGCGGCGATACACCTGCGAGGCCATTGAAGAACCCCCACAGGCCTCCCGGCCAGTCCCAAGTAGGTGCAGGATCGAGAATCAGCTCGTAAAATTGGTGTTCCAGGCTGGCGTCCAGAATTGTTGGATCGGTCAAGATTCGTTCTTCAATGACACTTCGCATGAATGGCATGCTCAACGCAAGACCGTGTGCGATAACGAACCAGAGGGCGGAGGCATTATCGCGATTTGGGTCGGACCGAAAGAAGAAGAACGAGGATACGAGGGCGCCTGTTTTCTCGCAATCCTGGGCGACGGTCATAGCTATCGCTGATTTTCCAACACCGGCGGCACCCGAGAGCCAGCAAATGGGACGGTCTTCCTCTCTGTTCGACCTCCAGTCATGAATCCCTCTGATTGCTTCTACACGTGTTCCCGGGAGACAATTTCCTCGCTCGACCTGTTGCTCAGCTTTGTGGGATGCTCCGACTCCGGTAATTGCACTCCAGATATTGGCGGATGCTGCAACAACTCAGTTGAGGACGAATTGGAGCAAAAGAAGCAACGAGCGACTTACGATTGCCTATTGTTGTGTAGAAATTGCTGACGAAATCTCGACCTGCATTCTGATTCGTGACTGCCCCGCCCATCATCTGGCCAATCTGCCCCCCACTAGTAATGTTCTGGTATCCCTGATTGTTGATATTCTGATCTCGACCATAACTGAGGTTCTGGTACGCTCCATGGTTATTGCTGTGGTGTGGATCCCAGCCAGAGTGGGTGTACTGCATTGACATCGACCACGCTGGATGGTCAATCGTATCACGGGAGAATGATGCGCTCGCAGGAAGGTCCGACAGGAAGGTTCAACAGGGCGATGTGGGGAAGAGATGAGCAAGCTTGATTGAGATGGTGAAGGGTGATGCATCAATGTGTCGTGAATGTGCCGGCATTGGACCTGTGACCTAGCAGAAGGAGATACTTATGGCATGGCTGTAGAGATGCCGGCGAGCGTCTAGTCAACGGCGACGACCAGTATCGATAGCCACTGGCCATGTCTTGAAATAGCTGGGGCGCAAGTGCGCCTAGTATCACGATCCACCGGGCCGTCTCTATGTTCTCGGTTCGTCAATTCAGGTCGAACCCTCTGGCCCGTTCACCCAAGCGGTCTATAAGACTGTAGTCTTGGAGGTGTAACAAAATGGATTGAGCGCTTGTGCCGGCGATGAGCGTCGCTTGAGTTCCGCGCGTGGTCTTCTCCGTCAAGTCAGGGGTTCAAGGAATCGTTCCTGAAGCTAGATTATCCAGTATTCAATACCGATGGCCCTTTGGAGATATAGTCGAAAACGACAAACAGAACTGGCCAGTCAACGCGAGCTTGCTGATGATAGGAGGGTAAACGTTACGCGTAGGTACTCTCCACTGACCAGCTCATATTTCGTAAAGCTGAGGGAGAGCGAATGTAGGCTCAAAAAATTGAGGGGGAAAGAATTGGTCGTGGAAGTCCAAGAGCAGGCGCCAAGCCCACAGCCCGAATCGGAAGTTCGCTTAGACTCAAACGAGTTATGGTACGCCACATTCTCTCAAATCTACAAGTACCTTTATATATATACACCCCAACCATCCAATTGAGTGAGATGCGCATACAGAGTCGCTCTGTATCCCGATCTGACACGTACAAGGTAAGTTCGAGATCCCAACACCACATGAAGACTGAAGCGAGCCCGATCATACTGAGAAACGTACCAAAACAAAGGAGATAAAGTCGGATTCGGAAGTTTCAAAGCACTTAGCGCTTCACCCCTGTCGTTCCCAAATGTCCTCGAGTCCTGACGCGCGTAGTATTCTCTTCGAAAGGTTAAAATCAAGGGAATGAATTCGTTATAACTAAGAGTAAATCGTTCAATGATCAGAATGGCGTGCGTAGATAATCCTGTTCAAGTTACTTACCGAATCCGGCCACCTTGAGGGGGCTACACGGTACACGGCATTCGTGAGTTGTATGGTTGAGGCTGAGGCTATTATTTCCTACTCACGAAAAAAATCCCTGCGTTTCGAAATACTGGGTGGCTCACGTAGCGTGAGACATAGTTCGCTTGAATCAGGATACGGGATTCAGGGTCCGGACTCTTTGTGGCAGTAACTCGTGTGCCCGCAGTGGCCTTTTTCTCGAGAGCGAGCCGAGGAAACAGAGAGGCCAACAAGGAGGGGTATTGAGCTGCAAGTCAAGGCTCTGGCCCTGCGCAATCTTCTGCTTGAGAGGCACGCATCGGTAGTTGAAATGGGCATTTCTAGCGAGTAACGATGTAGTAGCGAGAATGCAGGTAGTCGTGAAGTCATACCAAACAAGGCGGCATTGTTTTGTTCTTGTTGAAGTTGGAGAAGAGCCTGGAGTCGCCAGCAGTCATAACCAGTCTAAAAGCCCACTCAAACCGATACATTTGCTGGGCGGTAGGAGGGGGGGGGGGGGTGATCAGTGGCCAGGGCACCTATAATCTTGTGAGTTGATTGTACGTCTAATTTGGTGTTCAGTACTGAGTACTGGGTATCAAACTGGGATAAGACAGAGCGGGTAGTCGAAGTCAAAGAACAGAAAGATTATCGGCGCACATATGGATTGCAAGAAACCAAAATTACGCACCGCAACTCAACGTTCTTACATTCATCTTCCTATGGCTTTCGAAGCCCTTCACATTCGGCTGGAGATTCTTCGCGGCGTCGAGAAAGGTGGTGATAGTCACTGATGAAGAAAGTGAGGATCCGTCTGCCGTTCTGATCGAGGGGACAAGACCTATCAACCAAAGTCGGCAATGAGTATGCATCCTCTTTCAACAAATGTCGAAAACTTGTCAGCTTGACTCACGAGAAGTAAAGACAACAAAACACACCTTTGTTTCTTTTTTTGCTATCAAGGTCATAGTTCCATCCTCATTATGCGGCCAAACGATCGTCTACAGTCATCTCCAACCGAGCCACAATTCCGAAACAAAGGGATAAGGAGAGAAAGTATTCGTTTTGGTTGGAGAACATGCCGTGGCCAGTGAATGAATATCAGTAGAGTTCAAGCGTTCAAGGCGTTGAAATTGAGACATCCCAGTAAAAGCTTGGGGGTTCATGTGTTTCTTCTTCCTTTTCTCGTATCGTCAGGCTCGGTGTGCCCTTCCAACTCGCTTGTTTGATCATGAGGAGAACAATAGTCGCGTCGGGGTACACTAAATAGTGTAGTAAATGGCTAAGTTATTTGGTTGGGCAACGAACAATAAGAGCATTGAATTCTGTACCTTGGAACACCGTTGGTGAAGTGGTTATCATGCTTGCCTTCCATTCCCATTTTCTCCTCGTGAACAGCAAGCGGCTCGGGTTCGATTCCCGAACGGTGTATCCAGTATGGAGATTAAACTACCGTTTTCGCAGGCACATAATTTTGTCTGGATCATCTTTTGGGGTGGGAGGGGAGGTTGGCAAAAGGCTCGGAAGGGAGCGGGTAGGATTCAATACGAATGCGCCAGAGGTAATATGAGACGCAGCAAAAGGCATAAAATGGAGTCTGCTGGGTAGATTACGATTTGCACTAGCAGCTGGTCTTGAAAGTTCTCGAGAAGCGCATCAACTCTCAAGATGTCGCGTCGCCCCCAAAACGTTCCGATGTCGACTCTCCGCTCCGGGCCCGCTTCTTTTTCTCTAACTCTAACTCTCACCATAACTCTTGTCATGTTCCTCGACCCCATGGGCAGCTGCAATGATATCCATTCTTGATAAAGTCGACCCAATTAAACGTTGATTGATCCCGCTTGATCGTCAACCATGCCTACATTCCTCCTCTACACACTACTCTACATCAATGGCCAATCCGTCAACTCCACCCAAGCATTCGACATCCTCACCTCAGAAATCTTGAAACCCGTCGGTACCTGCACCAGCGCATCCTCTCAGAACTGCCAAGACACCATCTCCGCCGCTCACGATGCCTTCAAAGGCTGGAGTCAAACCAACATAAGCACTAGAATCCGTATCTTCACCAAAGCTGCCGAGTTACTCGAAGGAGGAGACTGGAAAGACCGAATCATCACCTCCATAACCGAAGAAACTGGCGCCTCTCTCGACGTGGCCATGTTCAAATACGCTACCGCAGCTAAAATTTTACAATACACCATCACCACACAAATCATTGGCCGCACATCCCCCTTAACCCGTTCCCCCTCCATCGATGTCCACACAGACAAACACCTACTGGGCCTCATCACCCAATCTCCCTGGAATGCACCGGTCGCCCTAACTCTTCGAGCAATAACAATGCCGATTCTATGCGGCAACACCGTTGTCTTTCGTCCCTTTGAGCTCTCTCCACAGTTCGTCTATGAAATTCTTGAAGAAGCCGGCTCACCCGACGAAGTATTCAATTCCCTATCGATCAGAAAGGAAGCTGCCCCCCCACTCACACCGACACTCGAGTTTGGAAAATCACGTTCACCAGGCTCAGACCGCGTTGGCAAAATCAGAAGCTATCGATGCAGCCTATGATTCTGACTATCATTTGACGAGCTCGGTGTGGGCGAGGGATTTGTATCTGGCAAGGTAGGTTGCCAAGGCTGTTCGAGCTGGGTATACGAGCATCAATGGGAGCACCGTGCATCCCGAATCTGCGCTGGGCTTGGTTGGTTTGGGGTGTGTACTGTCCGATCAGCTTCCTTGCACCGTGTATACTGATTCTCTCCTACCCTCCCACAGGGGCTCATCCAGCTTTGGTGTAGACGATTTCACCTATGAAAAATGTATCGTCGTGGGAATGAACACGAAGATCAAGCGGAACACCAGCGAAACCATGGGGATCTGACGAGGCCCTGGCCTTGGTTGTCAGGAATAGTTGGACTGGGCGGGATTGAGCATAGCCTGTAAAGGTGATATCAGGATGTTGGGGGATTGCCAGGTATGAATCATGTACCTTTAGTCTGATTTTACTCTGAGTATGTTATGGCGAGGGAATGAAGGAAAGTCGGGAGTCTGAGAGAGACTGATAGGAAGACGACCAGTGGCTGATGAGATAAAATTAGATCAACATAATCTTATCAAACTCTGATCAGCCGCCGGTCAGAACGCCCCAGAATGTAGCACATTTCGTCAGACCGCCCCAGACTGAACTCATCCAACCCACCGCTGACGATCTGCTGTTCATGACTTGGCCATACATCCTTCCAAGTCCCCGGTATGATTATGGCCTTACCATCAGGTCACAGACTGCCTCGAGCTCTAACCCTAGCCCTAGCCTAAGCGCTTGCGCTGAATTTTTTTCGGAGTTTCAACCACTTCTTCGGACGCCCGCCATGCATCCATGTTGACACTGTACCACCACAACCCCTACCACATAGCACCTTCACTCAAGTTCTCGAGTACTCGACACTCCTTCTCACGCATCTTTCTCAACCCACAAAATCATTCACAAGACTGAAGGCGCTATTCTCAGAAATTAGGAATTAATGGATGGGGTTCAATGGTAAATTCAAGTGCGTGGTCCAAGTTTGCTTTTACGCTCTGAGCTTTAAATACTGAAATCTTGCTTATGAGAGGATGTTGCATACAAGAATCCCTTAAAGTCGCCAGAGGCACCCGTCACATCGCAAAATTACACCTCTATGCAGCGTGCTCTCGTCCTGCTTCGAATCTTGACGGGCCACGGACTACTTACCCTCAAGGTTGAACAGAGCTTGAAGGCCGCGACAAATCGGGAGGTACGTCACCAATGCTCGTCAACGTCGCCCACGCTCATCAACGTCACCGACACTCATCAACGTCACTGACACTCATCAACGTCACTGACACTCATCAACGTCACCCTACCATCACCAACGCACGGACCGTTCCCCACACATATATAAATCCAACGACCTCTGTGGATTTCCCATTCCTCCTTTCCTCCCTCCCACCATGAAGCCCCCAAACCACTCAAGCCCTTGGTGACTGTCGACCCAACTTGAGCCCGCGCTAGCCTTCTCCTCTACCCCATGCCGACCAAACTACTCCTCAGATTCTGTTCAACGCCGCTCACAGGGTTTACTCAGCGTACCGGATACTCGGAGTCAACATGGTACGTCTGGATTGTCCATCCAATTCCAACTGCCCCTCATTTAGACTACATTTCTTTGACTTAGAAACCCCGAGAACATGGTTAGCGTCCGTTTGCCCGGGTCAATGTCAAGTGAGTCATCCTTATTATATGCGCATTCTTTTCGTTCTGGCTAATGTGTAGAGCTTATTTAGCATATTACATCACTCACCGCCGAGGTTCCTTCAGCTGGTTTTCGTCTCCGGCTACGTCACGGAGGTAAATTAATCTTACTGAGACGCCGCTCGACTGTGCTCACCTTTGTGTTTGCAGGTCACCACAACAAGGTAAAACATGCCGCAAGCACACCGTGAAGATGATGGTGGGCCACAATGGTCAATATATAGTTCTATCTACTGTCTAGCACGTACCTCTTTTGTTTTACATAGATTTGCAATATCATTAAGTTTTTTTGGTCTCTTCACTGCTCACATGGCACTCTTGTACGGGTTTGGTGTGTCGGGAAAGCTCATTCAGTCAATCTACCTGGTCAGCCTGAGTGCATCTGACCAAGTAGCTCCAACTGACTGTGGCTGACCATGTCGGTCAGACTGAACACGTCTAGTCAGGTCGGTCAGTCTGATCACGTCTGACCATCGCCGGTCAGAATAGGTGTGGTTGGTCAATCTCTCATCAGACATATTCATACTAATAAAATATTGTCATTTTCAGTCGTACTGTACAAGGACTACTATATAGGGTTAGTATGTACGAGTTCGCCAGAAAAAAAACAAGGATCCAGCGACCGTCAGCCTGATGGCACTTCACCACGGCTGACGGGTTTGACCAGCGGTCGATCAGATTGCCCTGGTTTCGCTGGTGAATCTGAGATTTTTTTCGAACAACGAATACCATTGCCCGGGAACGATTTATCACTGGGGGAGGGTTCCCAAAAGTGTACGATGTCCTGCTTGGTACCTAGACTCACTTCACCGCCCCTCCCACCTCCAGAAGCGCGGCAAATTCTATTCGATACGTTGAACTTGTGTCCTATTCATACGGTCTTCAGCGCAGATTGAAATGAGCTCGAATGTCTGACGCCTGGAAGACCTCAAAATTCTTGAAGTCTAAATTGGGGACTGCTGATCTACCAGACGTCTCACTGTGAGGAATCAAGCGAGACGTGCAAATTGTCGGGAAGGGCCAATGTATAATGGTATTCAACGGGTCGAAGGGACCCACAATGATACTGGGGTTGTGGTTGTGAGACGTGCAACAATCATGTTGGAAAACTTGTGCACCAAATTATCACGCGTGGCGAATTGGGCGGCAGACATGAGACATGACGAGCCCAAGTGGTGACGGATGTTAGCCAGAAAGTTCAAAGAATTGAAGCATCGCGTACCGCTGCATCCAGAACAACCACCGGTACCATAGTCCCAGGTTTTGTCTGCAAAGCGTGTGAGCATAGGTGAAAACGCAGTAATGACTTTCTAATGCTCACCCTTGGGGCGCGGAGGCACACCACACTCCGGATCTTGTGTCTCAAAGACTCAAACACACCCCAGATACCAGCTATAAGGTAACCAAGTTAGACCCACAGCCATGTAGATTGAGAACAGTATAGACGAACTTATATGTTTCTCATAACGTCTATAAATCCATGATCAGCGTTCAAAGTTAGGGAAGCTGATTCCATGAACACATACGTTGACTTAGAGAAGTATTCGTCGCCCACTGTGGCATCACGATTATTGCAAGCATCCTACATTCATTCCCATGAGCATGCCATCCAGTCAAATTATCACAAAACTGTTCACCTCCCAAGAACCGATGATGTCAAATAGCTTGCTGGACCATTCACGTCGTCCAGTGGTATCGGCATATCCGTTATCCCTAGAATCACCAGGGCCGGTCAATGACCTTGGTTTAGGAGACCAACACGCAGGGCTACTCACTTGAGATCGCCCCAAGTTCCCTTGCAACTGTACAGGTTGAGTCTGTGTCAGTTTGATGAAAGCTGGAAGGGTCGTTAGTATCTCCTCACCTGTCATCATCGACAATCCAAACTATGAAGCCGGTCAACACTAGGACACACTAACGTCCTAGAATGGTTGAGAACTTACTACCAATCTCGCCCCCATACCATGATTGATCCTCGCAGGTGTTTGGTCTACATTGTAGGCATCAGCTCCAGTTCCAGAGGGCTAAATATGGGAAAGAAAACAACGCACCAGTTATACTTCTTCCCCTTGATCTCGATGGGTGTAGTTGCACACATCTTGCGCCAATCAACGCCTAAAGAACAAAATCGAATGCGTTTAACGAGAGTTATTCCTGC